AGCGCCCCATTTTTTATCTAACCTGTAACCCTAGAACGAACCATTATCGAATTTGAATATGTAGTTTGCGAGTCCGAAATTGTCAATTTCTAATGGAAACTTGAACAGCAGCGCCACAAGCACAACGGACGTAACGAGAACTAAAAAATGGTTGCCTGTAAAGTCGGTTTTACGGGCGAAGATTTTACGTGACAACGTCTTTTTCTCGGTAGAATATTTATTGATATGAATATAATTAAATTGCACAATAGGAACAAGGAATTGAATGAAAATAAGAATTGCACAAATTTTAACATTTAAGAAATATATTTTGTTTACTAAAACATTGTACATGTAAACTTAAACTTAACACGAGAACTCATCGTAACGTTACCGAGCGTTACACTTTTTCATAAGTGACTCCCAGCCGCAACCTAATTTAAGACGTTGTCACGTCAAAATCAGTACACATTTGACAATGAAATTTTGGACTCGCAAACTATTCGATTCCATATTGATTCGTGCTAAGGCTACAGTAATTCGTATCGTTTGCGAGTCCGAAATGTCATTGTCAAATGTGCACTGATTTTTAGTTCTCGTTACGTACTTTGTGCCGCTGCTGTTCAAGTTTCCATACAAAATTTGACATTGACATTTCGGTTTGCAAACTATTCGAATTCGATAATGGTTCGTGCTAGGGGTACCTACTGTTAGTTAAAGTAAGTCGGTGCAACTCAAGCGTGGTGTAGGTATGCAGAAGATTTTCATTGACATTCAGCTTGTCATAAATATAAAGGAATAGGGGTGATGACGGGGTACAGTAAACGAAATTCTATTTAGTCCGTCAGTTAGATGATCAAAAAATAATGGACATGTATTTTTTCTTTGGGCAATGAACCAAAAAATGACAAAGTTACAGCGCGTCAAAGTTTGGGCTCGTGACGTCACTTTTGAGTGAAAATTGTACTTGTTTAATTGTAAAACGTGACGTCATGCGAATTTTCAAATCAATATATCTCTGCAATGTATATATTATGTGAAAAAAGAAAAAATACGTGTCCAATACTTTTTGATAATCTACCTGATAAACGAAGAAAAAAAGTAGTCATCTTCCCTATTGAAGAACACCCTTTCCAAATCTTAACCCGCAACAGGCGGAGTTACAAACACAAAAAAGAGTAATTACAAAAACACTCCAGTCCTTTTTCTATTAAATAAAGCTGTCACAATTTTTTTCTTCCATCTCCTAACAAAAAAAGATACACTTGTTTAAATTTTATTTGAGTTTTTGTGGCTAACTTTTTATGTTTTGAAGATGGTACGTATCCACTAAAAACAGTAGCGTGAACATGTTAAATTATTCAAATGGGAATTTGTTGATGATTAGCTGACCCGATAGATGCTCTCTTGCCTGACAAAATATTAGAAAAATCTGAGATTAAAACAAGGCAGCGCCACGTGTCGTGTAAAGTTGCAAGTCAAGTTTTCTTAGATATTCTATGCAACTTTCTTATTATATTGTTCATTATTAACCTTCTACAAAGTGTTAGAAAACTAAAAGTGATACAGCAGGACCTCTATAATCCTGCAAGGCCGGGAGGCTGCTAGGTGCGGAGACGCGGAAGAATCTCTAAACGGGGATCCCGCGGCTTCGTGCTAAGCAGCTTAGAGGGTGTTCGCAGGGTTTTCTAGCGGATATTACGCTGTAAAGCGCCCGTAAGGGTTACGGGTCCTCAGAGGGCAGCCACTGCTGGGGCTCGTAAGGCTTGCGAGAGCCAGGTATGAGGTCCGTTCGGCGGTGTGCCTCTTAAAGGCGCCGTCGTCTGTAAATAGTATTTTTTTCCTGCGTATAAAAAAAAATAAGACCTTTATAATCCTAACTCCTTAAACCGAACATCTCTCTGTAATCCGAACGTCTCACACCCGCCGGCGCTTGTTCCGTCGTCAAGACTGAGATCTATATTTTTAGAGTGACTTTTTATTTGTCATTGATTAACTCCTGACAAACTTAAAATTTTGATTTCGAAAAAAAATAATTTATAAAAAATACCTATAGATGTAATTCATAGTACTTTTGGCAATGTGCAATGAAAATACAATTTAAATAAAAATCGCAAATCCAAACCAAATCGCCAAACAAAAGACGTGCAACTAAAAGAATACACAAGTATCTCAAGGGAGATCTCTCTATCTCAATAAAATAGCGGCTAAGTGTGAATCGGACTGGCTCATGAAGGGTTCCGTAGCAACAAGTAACATAATATAAAACCTGCCTCCCGCGCGCTCTGCATCTGCTACCGATATACACTTCTGGACACATCTATTGGCCCACCTTGTATTTTCAGTTTCGTTTGGTCCTAACTAAAATTTTATATAAGGTCGCGCTAAAGGTTTTTATGCAGTTTTAAACCTGGCACATTCAAAATTTCATTCATTAGTCTTTTTTGTTGAATTTCGAACACAGAATTTAAAGAAACAAAAGACAATTTGGAGCCTGTTTGTTGATATCAAACAATCGAATACTAAGAAAACTTGGTTTTATTGGTTTACTTGGATTTAATTCTTAAAAAAGTGATTGATATCTTTGGTTTTGCAACAAACATTACTTATTCTTATCATTAAGGTGAGGTTCTATCAATAATCTATGGATACTTCACCTGAAGTCGCCGCCCAAACTGTGGCACTTATACAGGCCGGACACAGCCAAAGAAACGTGAGTGCTCAACTTAATTTAAGTCGGTCTGCGGTCCGAAATGTTTATCGGAGGTACCTAGAGACTGGCGGCTTTGTTCGTCGCCAAGGAAGGCCACGATCTCGGCTCACAACTGAAAGGCAGGATCGATTCATCGTGACGACCAGCTTGAGAAATCGTCACCTTACCTCCATTGAGATACAAAAACAAATTCGCGACTTCCACGGAGTATCTGTGAGCGCTCGAACTGTTCGGAGAAGGTTAAAAGAACGCGTTATGGTACCACACAAGCCAGCTAATGGGCCCAAACTAACGCGAGCCCACCGAACAGCGCGCCTTCATTTCGCACGCAGTCATTTAAATTGGACACAGCAAGATTGGAGCCGTGTACTCTTTTCTGACGAGTCTAAAATTGTGTTACATGGCAATGATGGAAGGAAGAAGGTCTACCGACGTACGCGAGAGCATTTCGCACAATGCTGCTTTGAAGAGAGGGTTGCTTATGGCGGTGGCTCATGGACTGTCTGGGGCGGTATATCCGCGAGCGGCAAAACTCAACTTGAGGTTGTTACAGGACCACGGCTGCCAACATTAAATGCTGAAAGGTACATTCGTGAGTGCTTAGAACCTCACGTGATACCATACGCGGACTATGTGGGCCCAAATTTCTTTTTTATGCATGATAATGCAAGAGCCCATGCAGCCGGCATCGTCAGGGGATATCTTCAGGATGTGAACATCACAGTTATGGACTGGCCAGCCAGAAGCCCAGACATGAACCCCATTGAGCACATGTGGGACGAGCTAAAAAGACGTGTTAGGGCTCGTCAGCCAGTTGCCCAGACGATGCAGGAGTTGAAAACTGCCATAGAAGAGGAATGGGAGATGATCCCTCAAAATTTCATAGAGCAGTTGATAAACTCTATGCCTAATCGTATGAGAGCTGTGGTAGATGCCCATGGAGGCAACACGCGTTATTAAATTAAACCTTTATTTGATAAAACATGTTTTTTATTCAAAAATAAATTGCCTTTAACAAGGCGCATATCCGACTTGTTAGGCGTAGCTCCATGTCGTATGGTATTCTGAATTCAAATTTAAAACAATACGATCGAAAAAGATGGTAAAATGTATCAGGTTTAAAACTGCATCAACAGTTTTTGTTCAATCTAGCAATCATATTTCGGTAGGGGCCATCGAAACCTAAACTCTAAGGTGGGCCAATAGATGTGTCCAGACGTGTATATATATTTTTATTTTATAGTCATAATTTTTATATTATTTTCATTTTTTTTGTTTGTAATAGAAAGTGACATTATGAGTTACCTTATATTGAAATCATTTTTCAATTTAACGACTCTGCATATAATACAGGGAGAAAAAAACAGCCCTTGCTGAGTTTCTTGCCGGTTCTTCGCAGTACAAGGTCTCCCGCCGTAGATTTGCGAACCGATGGCGTAGCTTTTCGACATTCACAAGTGCTTGTAACAGCCTAGACTGAATAAACGATATTGAATGATGAAGCCACGCCCCGCGCGAATTATAATTATTATTTACTTAGGCACCTATTACAGATTTATTATTAGAAAATACATAATGGTTTTTATATTTGAGTTGATTGAATGAAAGTTAAATAGTGCTTTACGATTTATGACGTATAAAAAAAACCGGCCAAATGCGAATCGGACTCGCGCACCGAGGGTTCCGTACAAACCTGTAGGTATAGAACTTTAAAATTTTCAAAAATATTTTTTATTATAAAATGATGTAACTAAAAATTTACTATAAAGACGTTACTTCGTACCGAACATTTTACCACTTTGGAAGAGTCTCTCGGTTAAACTATTCAGTTTAGAAAAATAATATATTAGAAACCTCAATATCCCAGACCTATCCATAGATACCCCGGAAAAAAGTGGCTGTGACATGCGGACGGACAACGTGATAAAAACGTTGAAAAATACATGAAAAAACGTGTCTTTTCATTTTTCATCACTATGTTTATCACTTTGTTTTGTAACAAAAATAGAATGTGAAAAAAGATAATCCTCAAAAAAATTACGAGTCTTTACATTTTAAGTGGTATTTACATAATACCAAATGCACACGTATTATGCTATGGGTCACAGAAACTCAAAAATTAAAATGACAAATGAATCAATAAAATCTACTTTCAAGGGATTATGTACGGCGCCAAAAGGCAATTAATGTAAAATTTGTATCGCTAATCTTAAGATTCTTGGAGAATTTTGAATCTTATCGTGTTTGTTTTAAGACATATTACCACCGTGACAGGTGTTAAGTTAATTTTGTTACGCAATACACATGTGCTAAGGAATGGTGCTTCAGCAGCATTTTTTTCCCGTAAGTATCCCGAGCACTCCCGCCTTTAAACTTTATTCCCATTTGTGTCCCGGAACGGTGCGGTTGTGTTCTTAACCCTTTAATAACGTCAAGTGTCACTTTGACAGTTCGCACCAGAACAGTGACGTTTAAGTGTCATGAAATATTTGTTTTCGGAAACTGATTTTATGTGGTGAGTTGTTTGGTTTTTTTTCGTTAGGTGTTTTTTACGTTTTAATTTAATATTATTATTTTGATTTTTTTTAATGCTCGTATCACAAGAAGTCTAATATTTCTTTAAATATTATACTGTATTTCATATGATTATTTCTATCATATTGTAATTCTTGTTATTCGGATGTATTAGCATATTTTTGCAATTTAAGATTTTAGAAGTCACACAAAGATGTCGGTAATTTAATTTAATAAAAGGTGTAATTTACGCAATGCTCTTTAAACAAATTTTTATAACAAAAAAATATTTGAACGGCTGAAACTACTCAAAAACATCCTCTTTCTATAATGCACTTTCTATAGATCTAATAAAAAAAATTCAACAATACAAACAATAATTCAAAATTACAATATAATAAAAAACAATTTGGTACAAGACTCTTGAATCAAAAATTCAATTGTAGCTGACAAACAGGCCTTTGCTTTGCATTCAAGCTTAAATATCGCATTTAATTCTCCCTTCTAATTTTCATAATTAAAAACATGCTCAATCCTACTATATTATTTCTTTTTTTGTGTCCATATGTTTGTTACTTAATCACGCAAAGAATACTGAATAGATTTGTATGAAATTTGGTACGCATAAGGTTTATGACCTGAATTGACACTTTTTATCTCTAAAAAATCTTCGGGCTTCGGGTGCTGAGGGTTTTTCAAAAAACTAAGTTAACGCGAGCGTAGTCGAAGACGGCCGCTAGTCTAAAATAAAAAGTCTATAAAAAATTAATCTGTTTCCAATAAGAATCTTCAAAAATGTTCTTATTAGTATTAAGTCTTATCGAGGGGGATTGCTTATACAAGGACACTTTTAGTAGGAATAAATGACGGATCACTTAGGTTATTATGAATGTTCTAAACTTCCTAGAGTTTTAGTAAAGATGAAATAGAATTTTAACAAGTTTTTATGCTTACCCAAAACAAACAAATTACTTTCTTTCCAATTTTCTTTTTATTATCATATATGAATTTTACACAAGTTTTTAAAAGAACCGCGCGTGTTAAGCAAATGTTCTATTGAAATAGTGTTCTATAAATCCCCCCTAGATTACTTACACTTCTACGGTTTTATTAAAAAAATGTTCAGATAAGTGTTGCTTTAATACGTAATCTATTTATTGAGCTTTTATTTAAATGAAAAAAGTGACAGAAAAATAAAGTTGTTTATGTATAATTTCAGGTTCCATATAATTAATATTATATAATAATAGCATTCCTTATTAATAATAGTCTAATGAGAACATAATTTTGGTTACATCGGTCATACAAGTATAATTTTCTTTTCATATTTGCAAAAAAAAATCTTATGCTTTTGTGCAGATCATTCATTTACATTAAACAATCTGGAAAAAGTATTGAAGAACTACAATTAAATACTAAAGAAAAGTACCTATTACACAAGTATTCCTGAATAACAATGTGGGTCGATTTTAATAAAAAAACACGTTCTAAATGAGTACGCATAGGTAAAAATAACAACTTGTATATTTTTCGTAACAACAACGTGCGTCCGCTATAATTTTGCAAAAAAAACAGCTTCCTACCATCTCATTGAAAGACAGCAACAGCGCGGAACACGTGTCTCAAAGATGTAATAATAAAGGGCAAATAAAGATTAAATTTATAATTCGCAGATGCCGACTCGACGCGTGACGAGCAGTGAAAGTTTATTTTTATAATAATAGCGAAACATATGCGTGAAACAACGCCACATGGAATAGAGCACCTAAAGACTACTGAACCTTACTAGGTAAATGAACTTAGAATGATGGCAAATTATGATATCATTTCCTGCTATGAGGGCGAAATGTTCGAGGACAAAAACGATAGTGTTACAGACTTACAAGCTTATTACATGACTCAATTCAATTTAGAGCTTGAACACGGCAACAAGAAGAGTAAAGACGCGTTTAAATTTGGAGTAGAGGAAAGTTTCGACTTTGAAGTTCTGAATGATTGGACTAAAACTAGTAACAATACTGATAACAATTTCGAAGCGATAGATAAAGTCATTGAAAGTAATATGGATGAGGAAAATATTAAAGAAGTGTTGTTAGATTTAGATAGTATAGAATTCGAAGAACAAGATTTAAAATCTTGTTCATACAATAATGATAAAGAGAAAAAAACTTATCAAGGCAATGATTATATTGATGATGAGTCCTTGATAGATGAACTTTGTAGGGAAGATGGGGAAACGTGTAGACTTACTCCAGAAAATTACAATGATGAATTTTTTTCAACATCAACAAATGAGAAAAATGTTTTACCGTCAATTGAAACGGTGTTTTCAATACGCCATTGCAATTATAACAGTATAGACGAAACTACGCAAAATGTTATTGAAGAAAATGAAACGATCATTCCAAATAACAACAATTTAGTTATTGAAAATTTAGATCATTATAGCTATCCTAATAACATACTTTATAACCTGGACAGTGATAAAAAGTATATATTACCTGACACTCCAACAAGTTGTACTGAGTTTAATTTCGGTAACGGAGAACGGAAAGTTTCCGTGTCGGAATCCATAGAAAGTGATGTACAAAACTCACATTATTATGACGAAAACTCTGAGCCATTCGACGAAGATGACTTTTTGGTAAATTTGGATGATTTTGGTTTAAATTTCGAGAATGAAGACGGAGAGTATACAACCACCAAAAAGAGCGAAAGAAGGAGTGATAAGGAAAAATCTCAAGGTATATTCGAAATCATACTCATGTGTAAACTGTTAAATTTACATGATAAATTGAATTAATGTGTTTGATCATATCATTCCATTACAGGTGAAAGAGTTTGTTTATGGGAGCAATGCTTCGAAAGACATCAAAATCAAAACTCTTTGGTTGAGCACATCGAAAGAGCCCATGTGAATAGTTATAAAGGTAATTTGAATTGAAGGTAATCTTAATGTTATCATCCAATTATTTCTTATACTTTGTAATCATTTCGAGATGCACTTCATAGCTTTAAATTAAAGTAACAGCTTTTTCATAAGAATTACATATTTCATAAAATATAGAAGTAGCAAACAATTTGTACGTATGTAGGTACTCTGCGTCCATCATTTGTTAATAGAACAAAAACAGTTATTTCTACATGCAGCCGATTCATCTAAAAATTATTATTTTTTGGCGTAGAGATAAACAATAAACACGATTTTATCATTTCTATATTTAATTACAATCATCATCAAACTATGACTAATCCAAAAACTATTTATGTTCATAATTTTTATTAAGGCAGAAATTTCCAATATTTTTTTTAAGCAGAAGTCGCTCTTAGCCATAAGATCGTCAATTGTAACTGATGTATGGTGTTTTAATAGTGTTTATCAAGATAGATATCTATTTATCTAACGTTTTTAATGGTTGGTTCCATTTCAGGCGATGAATTCAGCTGCCTCTGGCGGGACTGCGCCCGCGCACGTCGTCCCTTCAACGCGAGATACAAGCTCCTCATCCACATGCGGGTCCATTCGGGGCACAAGCCTAATAGATGCAATGTAAGTTACTAAGTCTGTTAGTTTTCAGAGATCTTTTATTCCACGGACAATATAATTATTGAATGAGCTCCTCTCCACGGTGTTCCCTCAGTCCTTTAATATAGTCCTTTTCAAGGGAGGCTTAAATACAGTGTTGCACGAAAGACAGTGGCATGGCTATATTACTGGTCAATACCAATATCACGTCCTTGGACGACGGTGACCTATTAACATCAGGTTGTTCGGCCGCTCGTCTACCTTCGAAGGCAATAAAAAAGTATCTAGTAGTGCATTTGCTTCCCTTATACTTTATAATGCAAAATATTTAAGTTTTTAGTTCAGTATCAGTCTCCTCTTTCAGTATTTTTTAATTACCTCGTAGGTACTAGGAAAAATTTTATTCAAATTGGATGCACGATACAACCCTTTTGAATCGTTCATATTTTTCCCTACCACTATTAAGGACATTTTTTAGCTGTGGATAAATACTGGAGAAAAAACTTTACAGCGTTAAGTAATTATGTAACATTTCACAACATATTATACTGTTACGGTGTCAATACAAAATCATATCATCTTCATCATAATTATAGATAAAGCCTGCCGGAACATTTGGAACAGTTTGAGCCCAAGCTTTTTAGTTTGGAATATAATCAGACACCTTACGAATATAATAGGCTTTACTATAACAACTTTTTTATTTAGCTTTATTGACGCTTTTTGGATATTGCTAGGGACTTTATTGCAAAAGCGTACACAAAGACGTTTAAATGAATTATTAAATTTGTGGAGCCTTGTAATTGGTACGGCTAATAGTAGGCCCGTATTAATAGATCGGTCTCAACTCTGAGACTACGATCTTGAGATACTGTTTTCATACAAAACAGCATCTCAAGATCGTACTCAAAAGTTACACAGTCCCTGATCCAATCGTGTTTTTAAAAGCTTTTCTTTTAATAGATGAATACAAGCAAATTTCTCTAGTTTACCTATTATTAGGTGTTCCTAGATGGAGTTCAGTCGCTACAAATCTAAAATCTCGTATTCAATTATCACATAAGCATTATTATGCTTTGTTCTTCTGCCCTAATTTTTATTTTTAGATATTTTTCAAAGTTATATTAAAATTGTCTCCTCATGAGGAGTATTGAATAAAACCTTGCACTTAGTTTATTTTATATACTTGCTCATGTATATTTTAAAAATTGTTTACTGGATATTCCGTGGCTTTTGTATATGTATTGTTACCTATTTTATATTATGTGACGGAAGTTCACTTCAATACGTATGTTTATAATAATATGTTTCATGTCAGCTTTCAATTTGACGACACTGTATGAAATAAAACAGGATGAAAAACGCAGGCTTTGCTGAGTTTCTTGTCGGTTCTTCTCAGGAAAAGGTCTCCCATAGATTAGCGAAACGATGGCTTAGCTTTCGACTTTCACATGTGCAATGAATATTGAATTTTAATTTGCTGAACCACTATCCTTTCGTAATATAGGGCTACCTAACATGAAAGTCAGAGGTTCCTACTCCTTAGATCTTATTATATATACTTTCTAAAAGATGAAAGCTATGGTAACAATTAAGAGACCTGATAAACCTGATGAAGAAACAATACATTTTTCATATTATTTATCAGCATCCCGGTTGCGGCAAGGCGTTCTCCCGTCTGGAAAACTTGAAGATCCACATCAGATCTCACACGGGCGAGAGGCCCTACACCTGTCCCGCTCCACACTGCAGGAAGGCCTTCTCTAACTCTTCAGATAGAGCTAAGCATCAGAGGACACATTTTAACGCAGTAAGTATTAAATCGCGAAACGGATTTTTCTAAATGATTATATTTTATTATAAGCATCTGCAGGATGTATAAATCTTATGGATTCGAACCCGTATCTTTCGATATCCAGGTAGAAGCGTAAATGGATTATTTTGTAGAAATATTAGCACTTCTTTTCTCATCATCATCAGCTAATTAATGCCCATACTGCAGGAGCACAGGCCTTCCCTATTGATAAAATAGGGAGACTGGGCCGTGACCACCCACGCGGCTCCAGTGCGGATTGATAGGTGCTCACGACTGCAGATGCAACCGGGACCAACGGCTTAACGTGCCTTCCGAAGTACAATGGAGCCTAAGATAATAAGTTTTTGGTCACCCATCGAATGATTGATCATTGCTAAAGTTGCTTAACTTCCACGATCGCAGGCCGAACGCGCTATTCACCTGCGCCATTGAGCTCCTCATCGTTTCTTTTGAACGTGCTTGATGAATATTTTAAGAAGGTCGAAAAATATATTGAAAATTATATCTGGCGACCACGGAGCCTGTAAAAGACTTAATAAACGAGATTATTCTTTCAGAGACCATATGCCTGCGGTGCTATCGGATGCGGCAAGAGATATACAGATCCTTCATCTTTGAGGAAGCACGTGAAGTCACATCCTCATATAGCGAACACACCCAGGACCTGCATAGCACCGACTAGACCCATGAGGAGACCGGAACAAGAACAGCTGGTGCCAAGCTCTCCGGCTAAACTGGCCACGTTGAGGTGTATCAGGGATAAGCTGACAGTTCCTAGATTGCAAAGGTTGTAATGAAGATCAAACAAATGATATTTTCGAAGATTCTAAGATTTAAAAAAATATTAAAAAAACAACTTTGTTCTACCTGAAGTTATGAAGAAAGAGAAGAGGAAGCGACAATTAGTTATGTGCCTATTTCTTGTTGTGGAGAAGATCATAACATCTGAGTTAGAAGTAAATGCTGAATAAAGAACTTTATTTTACCAAATGAATAAACAAAGAATATAAGTGGTCAAATGATTTAAGTGACACCTTGTTTAAGCAATTAATAGTCAAGACACTGTAATGAACTAACTAATTTGCCGATTGTCAGGTTGCAAATACCCTGAATTTTTGAAGTATTTTTCAGAATGTGATAGTGCAGTAAGTTGATTTTAAAAGTGGACATAAATATATCTTAGCTTCGCATTTAGCAACAGTAACTGAAGTGCATTTGTGTAAAAACATACTCACTTTACACAACGGAATTTGCCCGTATGATTTGGAATTTTGAAGTTTGTCCTTACAGAATTGCACTGCTGGAGGCATTATTTGAATTAGGTAACGCTTGAATTTAGAAAATTCCATATTTTCAAAATAATGTTGATTTAGATTTATTTAATATTAACTAAGTGATTAATAAGTACAAAAATGTTACGTAAGTTGTAATACAAGATATAAAATTCGGCAAAATTAAGACTGAAGTGATGAAAATAGCTCAATTAGATAAAGTTATTGCTCAACTCATAAGTTTTTGATGTTTTAAACAATGTAGATAGATAATTAGTAAAATAATAATATGATATATTGTGATGGTACTACGAGATGAAAATAAACTTTCGTAGCAAAAATCGGGCTGGATATATAGCAACTGAATACAAGCTATTATCATTATTAAATTTATATTTTGCAGCATTTAACTCCTACATGTTTATATCTAAAGAGAATATTACTTACTAGGAAAAATGTATCATAAATTCTGACCAGAAGGTAAATACTAGGAAAGTTTTTATTTTATTTAAACTGTTATCAACAATATTTAATAATAGAATTATTTTAGATAATGATTGATTCAGAGAAAAACTATTACATTCGTAATTTTAACAAAAGCTTGAACAAAATTAGCTTAGTTTCTTAAAGATTTCAAACCCACACAGCAGCCATTGGTTTATGCATAAATATAAATGGTAATAATGTTTATTTCAGTAAATATATTTTTTAATAAGCAGTTCATATCATAAGTGTTAGAATAAGTTAGAAAAAGCATTATTGTGTCTGACACAGATCTCTTTTATAAAAGACCAATTTTTTAAATAATTTTTAATACATATTTTATATTTAGATTTAAGAATGCACTTCCAAAAAACACCTTTATTTGCTCAATGGCTATTGTATATTTTAAAAGATTTATTTTTAAATTAATTAATAGAGAAGTGTATGCTGCATACATTTCGGTAAGTTAAGTAGCTCTTTTTAAGAGAAACATAATGTACAAAATGGCTTGCTTTCCAAAGAATCTCTTTATTCGATTATGTTTATATTAAGTAATTGTAGATAAATAGATCTTTACCTTGAGATATTGCCGATATTTCGTACTGTTAAAGAATTATCTCTATAATTTTGCCACCGCTTAATTTTTTTTAAAACACTAGCTTCTGAAAAAATATAGAAAATTATTAAAATAAGAAGCTAATTATTAGATTTAATTACATTGAGCTGCCACTTTTATATATTCAATAATCATATTTGCCTACCTGGCTATATATACAAAAAAAATGAAACATTTGGGGTGTATTCCGAAATATACTCGTACATCAGTATACTGGCCAGTGGTAATGACGTCACGAATCCGACGACATATTGTACTGGTATGCTACTATATTTTTACCGGGAAAACGAACATAAAGAATGACCGAGCGTGCGTGAGATGCATTCGAATTTTATTTCTTTTTTATTTAAAGAACAATAATGGCATCCGAACAAAAATAATTCCTTTTAATTGATGAGGTGAATAAAAAATCTTTTTTATTCGCACTATTTTAAATATTCGTCGATTTATGACGTCAGTATACTGGTATATATTACGGAATACACCCTTGAAATTGTGTACCCCTTAATTCTTAAGTAAAAAATGTTCCTGCAATAAATACGGCAATTTCAAAAGGTGAAGATTAAAAATTTCCATTTTAAGATCTCTCTTGTTACTTGATAAGAAAATATTAAGCAAGATTTATCTTATTAAGTTTTTTATTCAAAAGACAGTTACTGTCTGTAAATTTTAATGTTCGTTTAATTGAGAAAATGCTCAATTTTTTACATGATAAATTTTTAAGGCATACATAATGTGTTTTTGTTTTTCCTTGTTTCCCGATTTTTCTTTCTTTACCTACTTCTACACCTACAACACCCTTGGGGTCCTAAAATAGGCATAAAGAAGGTCCTTGTATTAATACTGATAAGGTAATAGTTATTTATGATATAAATGTTTAAGTTGGTTATTACAAACGAGTAGACGGATGTAAGAGACTTACCATAGTCACGAGTAATACAACGTTTTTCAACCATAGAGGTATAAGAATAGAGTAAGAGAGAAATAAACTCTACTACAAGGGGAAGTGTCCCTCAATAGAAAGAGAAAGAAGATGAGAGACCACTAGCTTTCTCTCTCTAATCGCGCATGCGCATTGGCAACCGTAAGCATCTTACTCTTTCGATGTGATGCTTGGACCAACTATTGGACAGACGACTGCGCATGCGTCACAAGAGAGAGAGATAGCTAGCAGTCTCTCATCTTCTTTCTCTTTCTACTAGACGGACACTTTTAGAGCCGCCTTCCCCACTCTATTCTTATACCTCTATGTTTTCAATACATTTGCGAGATAACAGTAAATATTCTCACTTTATTTAAGTGACAAAGAAAACTTTTTCTAATAAAACAAATGCTGCTACGTGCGGGTGGTGAAAATTGGAACTAGTCTCTTTTTAGTATTAAATTAAGATAAAGGTATAGTTTAAAAGGGCGTCCGAGGAGGTTCGAACAAAATTGAAAAAAAACCCTGAAACGCTACGCACGGCGCCATGTATGGGAACGTGCGGTAAAATGTTTACCGCACGCTTTGTTGTATGGCCCGTAATTTTGAACTTTCAAACAATGTATACAACCTTATCATCATCATGAGCCGTGCCATATACACCGTGAATTCCAAGTTACCTGACAAACTAAACTAGCTAATTCAGACAACTATTTAGGTTATATTTCCACAAAAACTGTGCAATTATCTCATCATCAGTCTATTAATGTCCCCTTGCGGGTGCGCGGACAGTCGGCAACGGTTGCCGCGCGCACTCCCGGCGTGCATTGGGGGGACTGCGTTCCTCAGAAATTCAGAACGTACGCCGAGTGACTGGTGCAGGAGTATTGTCTGTTTTTTTAGTGGCCCTGTTCAGGGCGTTAGGTAGGGCCCTGCTCATTTCATCCGGCCTAAGGGCTGGCTGAAGTGAGCAGAGAGGAGTCCCACATACCTTCCTCTCGCTCCCCCGGTGGTTGAAGGATGCGTAAAGCATTTCCCAGACAAATAAAAAGAAAAAAAGTCTATTAATGTCCCCACTGCTGGAGCACAGGCCTTCCCTATGGATGGAATAGGGAGATTTCGAGATACGATTTTGTCCCATAAGGTGTCGAGACCCTTGGTCCGAGGGGTCCTAGCGCTATAAGGTTTTTTAAATAAATATCAAAAAGGTTAGTCGACATCACAGAAGACCGAAGAGCTGGCAGCTATTCAAAGAGGGAACGCTGCCAGTATCTTCGGAACCTTGCCTAAAGGGACTTATCTTTATATATATAATTCTTCTGTGAGTGTGTATGTCACTGAACTTCTCTTAAACGACTGGACCGATTTTGATGAAATTTTTTGTGTGTGTTCAAGGGGATCTGAGAATGGTTTAGATTCACAATTTTGTCCGCTGGACAACCCCTATTTTTTTAGGGCGGTACGAAGTTCGCTGGGTCAGCTAGTATATTATTATTATAACACCTAAATATAAACTATATTGCGTAGTTTTATAAAATTTTGTAAACTATATAACTAAATCAATAGGAGCTCGAAGACGCAGGTGGTAGGCGCGTTCGGCTGCGACCGTTAAACTTAAGCAACTTTCGCAGTGGTCGGTCATTGGATGGATGACTAAAAATCTTCTATCACGAGTTCCTCCGTGCTTCAGAAGGCACGTTAAGCCGTAGGTCCTGGCTGAATCTGCAGTCGTTAGCACCCGCCAATCCGCATTGGGCCCGCATGGTGGGTCGTAGCCCAATCCCCCTATTCCTTACATAGGGAAGGTCTGTGCCCCTGCAGTGGGGACATTAATAAGCTGATGATGATATACATCATCATCATCATCATGAAATACTGAATTTGACATTGACATTTCGGTTTGCAAAATTCGAATTCGATAATGGTTCGTGCTAGGGTACTGATTAGCTTTTTACTTTTGCTTCGGGTATGAGAATCATTAACTCTTGTGTTTTTCATACTTCAAACCAGCCAGGTGTAAGTCCGACTTGCATACAAACTTTTTCTTAACACTGTATGAGGTTTATCTGTTTTTTTTTTCTTTAGCATTTACTCTGTAGGTATACATTTCCCTACATTTTGCCTCAGTTGGTTTAAAAACGCTGAAAAACATTCAGGTTTTGTATAGGGTAAGATTAAATTCGTTTCACTAAAGGCTAAATTTTTTTTTAATATTTAGTACACAAAATCCCATGCAGTCCAGGGGGCCAATCGCCTAACGGGATTGTTGATTGCTGTCGCTAATGCTTACGATTTAATTTTGTTATTTCTGACCGCCAAAGGTTTTCAAATACCTCATGCACATTTTCTTTAATATTGTTATTACCAATGCAAAAAAAAGAAATGAAAAGTGCGCGAAGCGTTTGAAAACCTTCGGCGGTCAGAAATAACAAATTTAAATTGTAAGCGATAGTGATAGCCATAGCAATCCCATTAGGCGATTGGCCTCCAGGCTTCAGCTTTCGGAATGTGGTCGAAGCGGTGCGTGGTGACACGGGTAAAAATGGGAACATGTACCTCGTGTTCAAGTTTCAAGATCAATAGCCTGCCACAATCTGATCGTTCGACATTAGAAAACATGATACAATGTAGCTATCAGTGACGCCGCAAAGGGTCAATGGAGGTACCCAAGACTCGTGTATGGCAGTATAAAAGGAAGGTCCAGGGTTAGGATGATCAGAAGTGAACTTCTCCCGAAGCCGTCCACATCTAACTAACGAACGGCGTCATGAAGATCTTGGTGTTGGCAGCGTTGATTGGTGAGAACTTTTTTGAACGATCTTTTTGGTGATACTTGATAAATTGTGTGATATATAAGGTATTTCACGACCACCGTGACTGAGTGGTTTGTACGCCGGGTTTCAAGGTGTCGCCTACTCCACAACAAAAAATCCACGCGGACCAGGCAGCGGACGGGACTCGAACCCGCACCCTTCGCAATCCGGGCGAATGCACTGACCATTATGCTACCACGGCCCTATTGGCCGTGGTAGCAAATGGCTATTGTGGGTTACCTACAATGCGAAGAGATGGCGCTGCCTTGCAGCTTAAGGCTAGGAAAATTTCGACGTGGCCAATAGGGCCGTGGTAGCATAATGGTCAGTGCATTCGCCCGGATTGCGAAGGGTGCGGGTTCAAGTCCCGTCCGCTGCCTGGACCGCGTGGATTGTTTTCTAATAAACTTTTCTTTAGATTAGTTAGTTTAAGAGTAATAGTCGTTCAACTTTGGTAAAAGAAAATTTCTTACCTATTGAAAACTTCTTAGAATAAAACATTAATAGTGACATAGATGAAGCCATTGTAGTGTAAAATATTTCGTTGAAAAACAAATTTAAAAAAACGATTGCTTTTAAAAAAAATAAAAAGTCCTGCTCAAAAAAAAAAGATTGTGGTAACGACAGGCATCTACGGAACCCTACACTGCGCGTGGCACGATACGCACTTGTTACTAAATATTTCTAAGCACTGTAAGGATTGTGTTATGGGATACTAGGGTAACAGATAGAATAAATATACTGATACATATTTTTTTCAATGTCTGGAAAATGCTTTACGCATCCTCCGCCCACCGGGGGAAGTAAAGCAGAATTATCCGGGACTCCTCCCCACTCGTTTCACCCAGCATGCTGACTCGATGAAACGAGTAGGGCCCTACCAAACGGTAAAAACCAGACAATACTCCTGCACCTATCCGCTGACACATATCCCGAGGACCGCGGTCCCAGACATATGAGTCAGTAGGGCGAGCATTGCATGGTACGCCCCAAGGGAATAGATAGAGATATAGATATATATATATATATATCTAATATATAAAATTCTCGTGTCGCGGTGTTTGTGATTAAACTCCTCCGAAACGGCTTTCCCGATTCTCATGAAATTTTGTGTGCATATTGGGTAGGTCTGAGAATTGGACAACATCTATTTTTCATCCCCCTAAATGTTAAGGGTAATCCGCCCCTACAAAATTATTTTTTTCAATTTTAGATATTTTTTTTTATTTTTTTATGATACAGCATTAGTAAATACATATAACCCTGAATTTTCAATCCTTTACAATCAACCCCTATTTTATTATGGCGGTACGAAGTTGGCTGGGTCAGCTAGTATGTATATACTAGCTGACCCAGCGAACTTCGTACAGCCCTAAAAAAATAGGGGTTGTCCAGCGGACAAAATTGTGAATCTAAACCATTCTCAGATCCCCTTGAACACACACAAAAAATTTCATCAAAATCGGTCCAGTCGTTTAAGAGAAGTTCAGTGACATACACACTCACAGAAGAATTATATATATAAAGATAACACCTAGAAATAGTAGTAACCTGAAATTTAAAAGTGGTGCCGGCTATATCTTACACACAGCAGGGTAGCGTGGGCGTCGGCTGCCCGGGGCGAAGGATAATTTTGCCGTCTTTTTATTTATTTTGTTGAAATATTTTTATTATTTATTGTAAAATTTTGCCGCCCCCTAAGAAGTGCCACCCCGGGGCGGGCCGCCCCTGCCGGCCCCACTACGCTATGCCACTGCTAACACCAAACTATGCATAATAATAATCTGACATCGCCAAGGTGTAGACTGATTTCACTGCATCAGTATTCAACTGCAGTTTTCACAATGTTTTAATGGAAAATTGAAATTATCGCGAATACTCATGTCTTGTTAATTTGTAGTATTGATTAATAACTACTTACAAAGTTGCAATTTAATTGCTAGATTATAGATAAGAGGTATAATAATAAATATTATTACGGTCAAAAGTCGCAGGTCAGTGGGTCCTCTAAATTAAATCAATCGACATATTTATTAATTAAAATGAATTAAAAAAAATCAATAATATTTTGGGAATTCAATGATTTTCAATATAACTGTATAACATAATGGTTCACTTAATCCTGTCTTTTTTTACTGCTTGGGGTACCAAATTTTCAAATCAATATTATATGACTAATCCTTATGTTTTTGAGGGTGCTGAATCGGATACGAGAGTAAAATTAATTTCAACCAAGGCGCTTTGAAAATTTAGCCAATATTTAAGGTGTCCAAAAGTACCCGATTCCTGATTTTAATTTTTATTTATTTTCATATCAATAGCTTTATAATTTCTATTTTAAATGAAAATTTGTTATTTTTCAATTTTTGCAAAGGGGACGCAGCAGTAGCATATTTAGCATATTCTCAGTTTTTTTTTAATATCCTCTATTTCTGGAAAATTCGAGCAATGTGATCCCTAACTGAGATCAGGACGACGTTTAAAAACTTTTGATGCCAAAAAAAAACAATAGGTTCGAAAATTTTCATTTTTGATTACACTTCAGGGATAGTTACAAAAGTCCCTCGCGATCAATTCAAGTTAATGTACACCTCTCGAATTATACGCGAGAAAACCAATTCAAAATTTCTGAATTTCCCAAAATTCATGGAATCGTAACATTTGTAATTGCACTAGTAACCTAAGTTTCTAGATTGGCGCATTTGCGACTCATACAGCCCATTAATAAAAAATACCAGTAAAAATCGACTCAGATATTTAACTATTTGCGTCTTTTTTAATTAATACAAAATTATAAAAACCCAGCCATTAATGGCATTTATTTCTTCTTTGTTCCAGCTGCCGTGGCATCCAACCAGTTCAGCGACTCCTTCGTCGCTGAAAGCCAACCGCAATCACCATGGCAGGTCGGGAAACTGTACCGCTATGAGGTAGACTCGTTCACCTTGGCCCGCTTGCCAGAGAGTGCTAGCACCGGCTTTGCTTTCAAAGCACACTTCATCATCCGCGTCCCAGCCCCCGGCCGCCTTCTGGCTCGCTTGGAGAAGCCTACCCATGCTCTGGTACACCAAGAACTTCCCTACGATAGGCAGCTCCCGAAAGACCTCAAATACGAACCCCTCGACAAACTTGAACACCCGTTCGAGATCGCCGTAGAAGGTGGCAGAGTTTTAACCCTCACCCTTCCCACGTCACTACCACTTCCCGAAGAGAACTTACTCAAAGGTCTGATTGGAGCTCTCCAACTTGATTTGTCCACTCACCGCCATGTTCGTAAGTCTTATGATGGCTACGAAAAGGAAACACACCAAGGCTCTTTCAAAAAAATGGAGACTGATGTCACTGGTGACTGCGAAACTTTGTACAACGTTTACCCCGCTGTACCCGAATGGCGTCGTGAACTCCCGAAATTCGCTGGAGAAGAAGAGCCAATAATGATTTCCAAGACAAAGAACTACGGCCATTGTCATCACAGGGTCGCCTACCATTTTGGTGTACCTAAAGGATCTGAGTGGACTGGCACAGCTCACAAGAAAGAAGAAGAGCAATTTATTCAGCGCGCGACTGTCACCCGTATGCTGGCCGGTAAACAGGGCCCTATTTATAAATCTGAGACTACCAGCACCGTTCATGTAAACCCTCAGTTATACGGCAAGGAAAAAGCTGAAGTTATTAGTTACGTCAAATTGTACCTCACATCTTTTGAAGCGGATAATGAAGCTCAATGGGTTGTTGGTAATCCAGAGAACAAACGGGTGGTCAACAATTTATTATATTCAATGTCACAAAAAAAGCAAGTCATGATCAGTGAAAGTTCATCGTCCTCTGAGTCTTCGGAGTCAATTGAGTTTTCCAAAACTATCGCAGATGAAGAAATGACTACAGGAAACCGCGTCCGTCGCTTCGCAAAGACTCCTAAAATAGTCGCGATTAATAAGGTTATTGTGAAACGAAATGATAAAGACAGTAGTTTGTCTAGCTCAAGTTCCGACGCTTCATTAACTTTTGAGAACGATTATTTTCCACTAGAAAATGAACCCGTTTCCGCCGACATGTATATAATTCCTCAAGATAGCCCTGACAACAAACAGAATCCGCAGGCAGTACAGAGACTTCTTCAAGATTTGGCCCAACAATTACAGAATCCTAACAATATGCCAAAGACAGACTTTCTGTCAAAGTTCAACATCCTTGTCCGCGTGCTCGCTTCCATGAGCTACGAACAACTTAGTGCTACTAGCCGTTCTCTTGAAGTTACAAAGTCATCCAATAACCTCATTAAGGCTGATATGTGGATGATTTACCGTGATGCAATGGCTCAGGTTGGTAACATGCCTGCGTTCAAACAAATCAAAGCATGGATTCTCAACAAGAAGATTCAAGAAGAGGAGGCAGCAGAAGTGGTTGCTAGCTTAGTCAAAACTATTCGCTATCCTACTAAAGAAATAATGCTTCAGTTCTTCAAACTCGCAATAAGTGACGAAGTCAGGGAGCAACTTTACCTTAACACGACCGCTTTGATTTCTTCCACCAGATTTATCAACATGGGTCAGGTAGACAACGAAACTGCCCATTCATTCTACCCTACACATATGTACGGCCGTCTTTCACGCCGACATGACATATTTGTGATTGAAGAAGTGATTCCATACTTGTCTCAAGCATTGAAAGAAGCTATTGAACGAGGTGACAGCAGCAAAGCTCTTGTTTATATCAAGGCAATTGGCAATTTAGGTCACCGCAACATTCTGGATGTGTTCGCTCCTTATCTCGAAGGAAAGATTCATGTAACTACTTACTTACGTGTCCAAATGGTTCAGAATTTAAGAGTGCTAGCTCACGAAAGAGACTCTTATGTTCGAGCTGTGCTATTCAGCATTCTGAAGAATATTGCTGAGCCCTACGAAGTGAGAGTAGCTGCTATCGAAAATATATTTATGGCGCGTCCTACAAGCGCAATGATGCAGGCGATGGCTCAGATGACTCACAACGACCCAAGTGTGCAAATCCGTGCACTCCTGAAATCATGCATCTTAACGGCAGCTGATCTGAAGCACCCTCGCAATATGGATCTGTAAGTTAATATAATTGAGTTCATATTAATATAGCTTTATGTCATACATTCCTTGCGATTGTGATAAAGAATTAGTGTAACACAATAAAAAATAAACAAACATTCGATATACAATAAATAAATTCGATTTCCTGTTTTTTCAGCGCTAGAACAGCTCAGTCCGCTAAATGGATGGTGACTAAACAAGAATATGGCCAACAATACTCCAATAAATATCTGAACGATTATGAAGATAGACACCACGAACTGGGCTTCATGACTGCGTTATCCTACACTGGTAGTGAAGACAGCTTCTGGCCGAAGAGTTTAAAATACTCCTTCAAGAGCAAAGTTGATGGATGGAACCAGGAAAGCACGGTATGTATTATTTGAGTGATCTTGTTGCATTTATAGATGTCCAGGAGTAATTCGAAAACGTAGCAAAACCAGACTTTACATTTCAATAAGCGTTTATCATTAAATGTCAGAATTAAACAAACCCCAAATACAACGTAACTTTACATTATCCAGCATAAGATTTTTTAATATTGTTAGTGAAAAATGATTACAGATCTCAGCTTCAGTCTCCGATGTACAACAACTAATGAACGCTTTCCAGCGTGAAATGGATAGAATGGTTCGTAAACAACCGAAGTCAGAGTCTGACCATATGTACTCAGCCGAGAAGGTTGCTGAAATGCTAAATATCAAACGCAATCCCAAGACCCCATTGGAAGCCTCCATTTTAATTGATGTAATGGGCCAAGAAAGATTCTTCTCTTACAGTGAGAGCGAGCTTGAACAGATGCCTGCCATTATCGCTAAATACATGGCAAATTTGGCTAAAGGATCTGAGAAACACTACACTAAAGTTCTAAATCAGGCCCAAGTTTCTATCATGTTCCCTGTCAGCACAGGAATGCCATTTATTTACAAATATAAAGAACCCGTGGTAATGCACACCTACGGCAAAATTAAGGGTCAAGTTAACCCATCAGTGAAGGAGAACGAGGACATTGCTAACATCATGAAAGAGGTGCATTTCACTTTTGCAAAGAGTATCGTTGGTAGTGTTGGTTTTATGGACACTCTTGCAAACAAAATCGCTTCAGTTGGAGTAGATAGCAAAATTCAGATCTACCTTCCTCTTAAACTGCAACTCCAAGCAAAATCTGGAGAAATGAAAATCATTGTGGATTCTTTGCGTCCTGACCAAGAAACTAACGTCTTACATTACAGTGTCTGGCCATATTCTACTTGTCAAAATAGAGATGCCCTTGTAACTGTTGCTCAAGATACCAACACAAAGGTCGTTGATCGTAGCAAGAAAGTGGTATCAATTGACTCCAAGTTTGGTCAAACCGTTGGTAATATATTCCAAATTCAGGGCTATTCCTATTCTTCTGATTACAAGAACATTGGCAATTTGTTGAAATCACGAGACATTTTAATGAACATCGTTCATCTTATTCGCCAAAGAGACGTTGCTCTTACACATTTCAATCTGAAACACCTTGGAAAACAAAGCCAAAACAAACGCGTTGTACTTACTGTTGCTTATGGTAAGCTTACATTAATTAAATATATTTTTTATACTGTTTTGAACAATTTTGAGATGTAATGTAGACATATTTGAATCACTTACGTTATTTTTTATTGCAGATTCGTATTACAATCTGGCAGTGGCATCCACTATTGAACAGCCACTAGTAGCCATACACACAGAAGATGTAGTTCCGAATAGTAGAGACCGCCGTCTACAAATGGCTACACGTGTAAGTGCAGGATTCAAGACTGCGAGAGCTCGTGTCATTGATGTGAGCGCAACATTCGAAGGTCAACAGAAGCATAGTTATGTCATGACAGCAGCAATTGGTGACAGTCTAGTGGATTCAAAGATTCAATATGTCTTCTTCGCCGGTAAAAACTCAGATCAGGCTGGAAAGTCTGCTGACCAAATCAATGCCGTTGGTACAGTCTTGAAACCTGTGTCTAGACCATTTAACTTCGTCGAAGCCATCAAAAATGAAATGAAGATGAAGTTCGGGTTTGACATTAAATATGGACACGGTGGAAACGGAATGGTAAAGATTGATGGATTTATGGAACGTAGCAAGAAATATACGGAAGAACTTCTCAAGCACCCGTTGGCTAAGCAATGCATGCAGCAAGTCAAAAAGAATAATCTTTACCAACACGCCTGCCACCAAATGCTTGTCAAAGCTCATACTCCTGATTACTTAAAGACATCTGTTGTTTATAAAGAAGTCAGCCCTGTCTTCAGGAATATGACTTATAAAGCATTCAGAATCATTGACAGTCTGGGCTTCTGGTTCACTGATGTGAATCCAATGAAGACTACACCTGATGGTAAACTAGAGATTGAGTCTCAGTTGTGGTATCCTGATAATACCATGTCTTTAGCGCTTAGCACTAGATTGGGAGAAGTACATTTAAACGATGTGCCTATGCCGAAATTTGTTGGGAGTTGGTTGGCTGTGTATCCTCCATTTAAATCGACGGAATGTGTTCTCAACGAGTTTACTCGGGATCAATATCTGCGTAAGTAACTCATAATATTTCTAACTAAAATTAAAGTATCTAGAGTAACTGTTGTTAAATCTTTTTGTTGATACAATGGACTGCGCTATGAAGAAAAACTGAGCTGTTATATTTCGAGGCAGATAATTCGTAACAACAGTCAAAGAAGGCCTCGAGATGACATTTTGTCACTGTAGTTTTTGTGTAGCTATGTTAATTTTGTTTATTGTGTATTATCTTCTTTAGCTTACTGCACGGTGGATTCCAACAAAATCAGGACGTTCAGTAACCGCAGCTACGAGTACAGTCTGACACGTTCATGGCACGTAGTGATGCAACACGACGCCATGGTGCGAGGTGGCAATGACAAACTAGTCGTTCTTGCTAGAAGACCGCAAGAAAAGAAACTTGAGCTGTACATCTCCTATAAGTAAGTACTTCATACTCATTATTGTAAATCTGTTAATTGTTTATTCCCAACAGCTACTGCCTTTTGTTAGTCTAGGAAATGAGATTGATACTTTATCCACTATGTGGGCTTAGTAGTAGATCAGTGGAAGTAACTCTTAAAAACGTTATCCAGACAAAACAATATGTCCTAATCCTAACAGCATCCAAAATATTTGTTTCTTAGGTTTTCACGCACATCACTCATTAAATAAAACTAGTTTTTACGGGTTAATGCATGAAACTTTATTTATTTATTGACGTTTCGTAGCCTTTACAGGCTACGTCGTCAGAATCAAACTTTTATTTAATTTGTCGAGCTACCTTCGAAAGACTTTTATTGAGCGTTCGGTTATTTCATTGTTATTTCAATAAAAGTCTTTCGAAAAGCATCCAAAATATTAGCAAACATAGGAACAATGTTTTTGCTACGTTTCGTTGTTTACCATATATTTTAATTTAGATTTTTAGTTTTTGTCTAACCACTTATCACTATTGCCCACAGAACACGACAAGGCCAAGACCTAGAGCTCGAAGTTCAACCGAACACTCAAGGAAAGCACATTATCAAGGTGCACACCAACGCTAAGAAAGTGTTCGATGAAGATTTTGTCATGTATACGGATGAAGTGAACCGCGTCAACGTGCTTGAATACCACACTCTACCTGATAATGTGCTCATTATCAACATTCTAGAAAATCATCATCGCCTTATGTACGATGGATCCAGGCTAGTCGTCTTAACAAGCGAGCACAGGAACAGGAATAATGGCATCTGCGGCCGCATGACCGGTGATATGCGTGATGACTACTTGACACCAACTGGATTAGTTGACAGACCAGAACACTTTGGAGCTTCTTTTGCTCTTAAGGAACAAGATGGCGACCCAAAGACACTCGAACTGCACGCTCAAGCACACCAGGTGTCCTACCCTATGAAGCATCAGTACACAACGATCTTACCCTGGGACATTGAATGGAGGAACTGGGAGAAGCTTCAGAAACCTTCGATGCAAGGCAATGTATATAAAACAAGGAATTGGCAAAAGAAGGGTGGTCAATGCCAGATGCATCAACAGGTGCAATATTTTGAGGACCATGGCGAGATTTGCATCACCTTGACTCCATTACCAACTTGCCCGTCCAACTGCCGTAGTGACCGGTACACGATACAAGTTACTCAAGTGGTGTGCCGCTCGAAATTCGATAAGGAATTTCGCGAATATAAAGAGCAGATTCGACAGGGGCAGAGTCCGAGGATTTCAGATGTTCCTGAACAACTACCCAGGCAATACAAAGTACCGACTACATGTAAAGTCTGAGATAATGATATGTTGAAGGGCGAACATCAGCCAAACCATGTAACTACATATTCACCATGAAAACAGATTACTCGGCAAGAAATATGACTCTGAATATAAAATATAGTATTTATAATAACGTATTGGATATTATCATATGTATTTATCATGAAATTTTATATTCTTATGTAAATATTATGTATTACTATGTAAAAATATGGATTTTATAGTATTATATAAATAATAGATTTGAGAGAATAGTTACCTAGATATAAATATAGCAAATGAGAAAATAAATATATACTTACATTAACAATGGAACTTTGGGCCTTGTTTAATTGCACTATTTCTTTATCATACCTTATAAAAACAGATTAATCGACTAAAAAAATAGTACAGTGGACTGGATTTTAATTAGTTCTTACGCAGTAATCTGATTCGATTATTTATTTTTTTAAACTATGATAAACGTTATAATACGGTACACCAGTGCTGCCATATCTACCAACTTTTTGGTAGATCTACCAATTTTCACTTCAGTCTACCTATCTACCACCCTAGACCTAAAAACTACCTATTTTTTAATTAGTTTGACATATCACCATTTTGAATTATTTTTATATCGACGAGCGACGTTGCGATGTATTGCGTGAGCCATGCAACGATGCGTCAAGCATACATTGAGTCCAGGCCATAAACCACAAAAAAAAAGCAACAGTTCGCCATGAATTCGGCGTTCGCACCATTTCGCGCCCATTTTTTACTATTCCTACTATGACCTATTCCCGGCTGCTTTGTTGCGGAATTAATGTTGAATCTTTGCTCCTGTTTTATTGTAAAAACTAATTAACTGCGTATTAACGGTGCTGATTGCTGTTTGTTCTATGTTGCGTGCATTTATTTATATAATGGATTCTGACAGCAGCGAAAGCGATGCACATAGTTCTAGGTTAGGAACTTCGCCACGGAAACCTAGAAAAAGGCACTATGACCAAAAATATTCGAAATTATGGGAGAAAGACAAGGAATTTGCAGGTTGGCTTTAATTAACTACTAAGGGTGACGGATATTTTTATTGCAAATCGTGTAGGTGTGATCTGAAGAGTGCTCTGCATTGCATTGCATGCATTTTTAATCTTAAAAAATCTTCTAAATTGAGGTGGTAGATCTACCAATTTTGCATTTTACATTCTACCAACTTCTACCAACATTTGGCACATAATCTACTAATTTTCTAAAATTGGGGTTGGCAGCACTGCGGTACACCCAATTAATAAAGAAAACTTGAAAACCATCTATGTAAAGGGAAATCCTAGATACACGATTCATACAAAAAAAACTGTTGAATCCAATGATATTTTATTAATATTTAAATCAGCAAAACTCAATATGAGTTTAATTCAAAAAATAAATTCTATAACGCTAAGAAGGCGTGTATAGCTTGGTTGTAAAAAATTTGATCTTGGACTATATACAATTTTGAACACAAAGGCAAGCGTAATTCAAATGACAGGCAACGCCATCTAGTTACATATAAAAGCTGAATCGCAATCCTTATCCTGTTGAAGTCGGTAAAAAATTGACTGTATGCACTCAAACCGTTTGCCTTTAATATCTGACACTGACAGTGACAGTTTGATCAGCTGTATTTTCTGACAATTCGAGTGTGCGACGAATGATTGCGTTGCGTATTCTCAAGACTTGTGCGGCTACATTACATATTTTCTGGTAGACTCAGTGAAATACATATTGATGTGCAACTTTTATGAAGTGTTCAAGAGAATTTGAAGTTACTTGAGGTGCATTTTAAATTTGGTATTCCATATCGATTGTCTTCCAGCCAGCAGTGACTGTCATTTGTTCGACGTTAGAGGTATGTTAGTTAATGCAGTGCTTCAGTTATTTCAATAATAATGAATTAAATTTTCGTCCTATCAATAAAATTAAACATTCGAATCAATATTTTGCAAATTATGTCGCATTGTTGCATGCAGTGAACTCTGCTCATGAAAAGGATTGTACTGAAAATACTGAAATTGCGTTACAAATTATTTTGAAATTGAAGTTCTTAGCTTTCACGGGAATATGTGAAACTCAGTTACAGGGTTGCCACTTGTCTGACTTGATTTTTGACTTCTTTCAGTTGTGTCCTACCAAATATCCTCATATTGGGCTTTTCAGAATTTCATTAGATCCTTCGTTATTTGTATTGCCGTGTTGAGAAAGTGCAATATAACTTTTTGTCTGTCTCATATGAAAAAATACCCAGCTAACTTTAGCATTAAGAAAGTTTTTTGTATGTTTAAAGATTGCAACACAAGGCAGATAATAAGTAATTATAATAATTTCCATTTAAATATGTATTATATTCTATAGATTTTTTTCCAGCGTTCTGTTCTTCTACTTTTATCTGTAGTTGTGATTGACTTCTTTGTAATTATCAGGGGGAAAATCCTTGACTCCTCAACCATGTGTCTGTTTGCTATAGATTTGGCTTCTTTTGCATTTCGTTCACATCAACTATACATAAACTCTTTGGCTTTTCTCTTAGTCTTGCAATATGTGGTTGATTACCATTAGAAGATGAAAAAGCAAATATAATGCACAATTACCGTCCTTTCAAAACCAATTCATATTATTGTTTTTGACACTTAAATCTTTGCCATTACTAAATGTTTAGTAAGTTTTCACATTTTAAGTCATAAAACAAAGATTTGAGTGCTATGAATGTTTAAGACGGCAATTATCCGAATAAAATTTTACAAGATAAAATTCCACGAGAACCAGGCAGCAGACATGACTCAAACCCGCACCCTTCGCTATCCGAGTGAATACTCTGACCATTATGCTACCACGGCCCTGATGGCCGTATCGAATTCTTTCTAGCCTTTCTTAAGCTGCAAAGCAGTGCCTGGTCCGCGTGGATTTTTTCTAGTAACATTTTATTTAGATTTAAACATCGAGTAGTTACATGCTTAAAAAATATAAATTATAGTAATCTGATTTAAAACTCAAATTAAAATTAAACAAATTCTTACATGTAGACACATTGTTTCTACCAACGATGCAGAACCTCATTGTTATCCAATACACATATTGATAAAGTAAAGATTTTAAATCAGATGAGTAGGTAGTTTTATAGGTTATCTGTTGCAGTCAAACTCTTTCACAAACTCTACCTTGTAGATAAAGGAAATATTGAAGCTCTTAACAACTTTGTGTAGATACCTAAACTTCACTGAGACTTAACATCTGGTGCCGTGAACATATTTTTGTATGACCGATCTATATAAAAAAACTGAAGGAAAGTCTAACTTAATATGTACTTAATTAAGTTAGACTGTATTAAAATGCATTCATGCATTCTCATATTTTCCTTATAACAAAAAAATAAATTAAAGAATTTTATTTTAATTGTTTCATGTTTTGTCAGACATGTAAATTTTACCGTTTAGTCATGGTATTAATCTAATTATTGTCCTGTTGTCTTATTTGAAATTTAATAAACTTTTTGTCATGGGCCACCTACAATTTACCATAGATTTTATAAATAAAATCAAAATATTGTCAGGATTAAATGCCTTAACAATGCTTCTGCCTCCCCTCACAGCTCTTGCAGCTGTTTCTCGCTGCCTGCCGCCCTGAGCCATGGTTCTCATAGCCATAGATAGGGTATGGTATATATGATATAATACGCTGCTGCTTTTTGTAATACTTATCAAATTCTTTGATTGGCCAAAGTTGCGCCTTCGCAAAATTTTACAGCAATTGCTCCGTTTTTACACTTATGAGGTACAGGATATTTTAGAGAAGTATATCTGTACCTATGTGAGACCTCTGTGAAACACTTACGTTTGGGGTGCTGTGTTTCTATTGGTGAGTAAGGTTGCAGGATATCATGGTAGAGGATCAGTACTCCGAGAAATATTCTTATCGTAATGTACAATTTTCTATATAAAAAGCTAGTTTGTTTTAAAGTCCGTTAGAGGCGCTGCTTAGTCTCCATAGAGACTTCGACGTTGGCTATACGATTACGGATCTTTGAAAGTTCGTGCTTGGGGTATAGGTTAGGCCGGTACTTAACATGACGATGCCTGGAGCGGAACATTGTTCCGGCTCATTTCATCACCTACTTATCTTCACAACTGAACCTGCTGCACCCTCCATGAAAAACTCGGTTCTGGTGCTTTTTAAGGTTTTAAGCATTTTCTGCCTGTTTATAGCCATTATGACCACCATTTATGACCTTACCTTAATTAATACATAAAAATAACACAGCAATCAACAATGACAAGATATGACAAGACAAGCTGGGCATATGAGGTGTTTGACATCAGAAAAAACTCGAGACAAAATAGAAAAAAAATATGACCTGTTACGTATTACGTAACTTGTAATCGATTTGCGACACATGTACTTCCGTATTGCATGAGGACCATAAATACAATACAATTAACACCGCCAACATCTACATTTTTAATATGTAGGTACCAAGATAATTATTGGTATATGCTTACGATTTCGTGTTCGGTCGTGTTGCGGTGCCAAATTGCTTTTCGGATCCTCAGAGGCCCAAGCAAGATATTTTTTTTTAATAACTAGGTAGACAAAGGACTTTACCCCACCTGATGTTAAGTGGTGATAGAGTCCAGACGCAAAGATAGCTGGTACAGCTGTTATTAACTGCCATACCAACCATCCGGCCTGCAGAAATGCTTCTTCACGCCTCTCTTAAAGGACCCCAGATTGTAGGGAGGGGGAACACGTGCGCCGGCAAAGAAACTTGCGAATAGTACGACAAACAAATGAGTCACCTAATTTGGCCACAGTAAGCCGGTGAAAACGTATGTCAGCGCGCGTGGCCCTTTGAAGAAAGGTTGATGGAGGTATAAGGGAGAATTACTCCTCAGAACACTCGCCGTGGTATAATCGGTAGAATGCGCTTAATGAGGCTACATCGCGCTCGCAGACTCGAGTTTGTTAGTTACCTCCTCATCGCCAATGATGCGATCAGCGCGCCGCTGCAACCTATCCAAGGCATCGAGTAAGTACTAAGCGCAGCAATCCCAGAAGTGCGGCAATATTCCACGCAGGACCGCACTTGTGTTTTGTACAACAAGCACAGTTGCTCAGGCGCGAGGCGTAAAAAAACGCCGCACCTTGTTCAGAACTCCGAGTTTGCGTAAAGCTGCCTTGATCATAGGGGGAAGGAAGGGGAAGGAATGGAATTGTGACAGCTCCGTAATCGTATCGTCATGGTCAAATTTTGTGTGGAAGAAGCCAGTTAATTATTACGTCCGGCCCTGTTTTTCATAGACACTGACGATGCGGTCCGATCACGGAGCTGTCAAAATTCGTGATTGGGGCTCAGATATAGCGTCCTCACGTCTTGGCTATGAAGATTGGTGTTCTTCATTTGAAGATCCCATCCCA